CTGATACAGGCCATGGTCTTTGCTATCACTTATTATGCATTAGAGTTGAACAGTGACTAAGGAGGATAAAAGGAGAATTGATGCCTTTGAGCTGTGGTGCTGGAGAAGTGTATTGAGGGTACCATGGACTGCTAGGAAAACAAATAGATTAATCTTGAAGAGGGTTAAACTGGGTGGTTCCTTGGAGGCAAGGATTCTGAGGTTCCATCTAACATACTTTGGACATGTTGTAAGGAGGGGCCGGTCCTTGGAGAGGGACAGCATGCTTGGGAGGGTGGAGGGACAGTGCAGGTGGAGAAGAAGACCCTCTGTGAGGTGGATTGATTCAGTGACTGGGATAATCGGGGTGGGCATGTCCGAGACAGTGCGATTGCCACAGGACAGAGGGTCGCTATGAGTCGCAAGCAACTTGACGGCGCACAACAACAACAACAACATCTTCTCTTATCCAGATGTCTGTGCCTGGTGATAGTTCTAACCTTGTCAAGGGCTTGACATAGCTGCAGATTGCAGATATTAAGGAACATACATCTCAGCTGTGGGCCGCTGCATAGAATAAAGAAAAGCTCCAATTAGAGAGTTACTCTTCACTTTAAATTGCTAAGGCAAATGGGTGAACCGAGTCCTTTGCTTTGATAAGGAAGTCAAGGCTAGGCTAAGGGAGAAAACTTCCTCCTTTTTAAACAGTTATAGAAATACTACTTTTCACTTTGGGTATTGTGAAAAGTTAGTATCTGTTAATTGGGGAATTAATGGTTGATTGAAATTGTCAACTATTTCATCTTGCTTGGATCCACAGTCAACACCCTTGGTGCCAACAGTTAGGAGATTGAGAGATGTCTAGCACTGGGAAATCTGCTGTCAGACGTCTTTGAACAGTCCTAAAGAATGAGGATGTCAGTTTAAAGACTAAAAGTGCACCTGAACTGATACATTTGAGTTATGGTGTTGGGGAAGAATACCAAAAGAACAGACAGATAAGTCTCAGGAAAGGTGTAACCAGAGTACTTTTGGAGGCAAACAATGGTGAAGCTTCATCTTACATATTCTGAACATGTTGTTAGGAGAGGCTATTCCTTGGAAAGGGACATAGTGCTTGGAAAGATGGAGGGTCAGCGAAGGAGAGGAAAACTCAGTGAGATGGATTGACACAGTGTTTGCATAGCAGTAAGCTCCAATGTATTGCGTATGATAAGGATGGTGTAGGACAGGACTGGATTCAGGTCTGTTGTTTATACGGTTGCTGTAAGTCATACTTGACCTGATGGCACATTAACAACAACAACAACATACCCTTTAAATAGTGTTCTTGTTGCCATTGTTAGATGTCATCAAGTTAACTTCAATTCATAGAGATCCTACAAAAACCAAATCTGAATCTCTCTCCACTTGGCACTATCCTCATGATTTCCTCCATGTTCGAGCCCATTGTTCAATTAATTGTTCATCGAGTCATTGTGCCAATCCACCTCCTTGAGAATTTTCCTCTCTTTCACTAACCCTCTACTGTCAAGGGCCTCTCCAAAATGCTAAAGAGCAATAATGTCCTTTTAAAGACTAAGTGTGCCTGATTTAAGCCATAGTTTTTTTCATTTGCTTCCCATGAATCTGAAAG